AAACATAAAAGCCCTCCTAAATAAATAAAAGTTGAGAGCCGATCTCGCGATCGCGCGCCGTAAGTGGCGTAAACTTTGATATACGTCCTGGCTGATCTCACAATTGCCAATTTTCAAAGTAACAAATTCTGAGCACAGTATGAGAAAACACCAAATTACAAAAGTGATGAGCAAGCAAACTTGGGTACGTGTTTTTCTTTCCTTGATGATGATGAAGTCGCCCATGTCAGATAACGTTAAGGCAACAGTCTGTCGCTTTGAAAACCCTGAATCGAATCCATGAAAACAATTTCAGGAATTTTTTACGGGTAGTCCAGTTCGGATATGTCGGACTCACCACCCTGAAATTTCCATTATTGTAGGGCCCTGAACTAATCCATATATGATTAAAACACACCCTCTTATTATCCACAGGGCGAATAAGACAAAATGAAAAAAAATCAAAATAATATTGAAGATAAAAACAATAAAATTAAAAATAATTATTTGTAATAATAGAATTAGGGANATTGTGACGACGTCACAATAAATAATTGCTCGTTTTATGAATAAATCATAATTTAGGTTAATGATTTGATCATAAAACAAGATGCGTTTTCTATTATATACATTTATAATAGATACATTTTGAGCCACAACAACGCGTGGCGGGGTATGCTATTATACATATATATATATATTAGCCTATATATAATTTTATATTAAAAGTTATCAGTTTCACAGTGAAATTTCAGAGATGACTAAGCGATTTAGGTGTCCACAAAGCGGCCACCTCAACGCTCTGTGACATTCTGATACTGTCAATATTTTAATATTGTTTTAAATCTTAATTAAACTAAAATATTAAGATTCAAAACTTTAAAATTAAATACGTGTTCGAAACACATTACGTCTGGAATAAGTCTTAGAAATAAAAACAATTATAATTCAAAATGCTAATAATAATACAGTATCATCTTTATAATATGTATTTACAAAAGGTGAATTTGTTCATTCGCTTCATGACTTTTATCATAGTGACTACGGTTTTTTCTAACATTAAGTAAACTCTGAAAATGCACTCAGTTGAATGTATTGATCTTCGGAGGATGATCAAAATCTACCTATCAAGTCTTCCTCTTACCTCACATGCATTATCCTTCAAGTATCTTTTGATTTTCCGTTCTTTTCTTGAAAAAAAGTTTTTTATACAGCATCTCAAACAGTAAGTTATAAGATTCGAAGTAGTGAATGAAAAATAAAACCTGTAATTATGGAAGAAAAGCTTAAATTAATGTGCAAGTTTTGAGTGTTGTATTCTTAACTTCATTTTTCAAAAAGTGTAGGCCTATTGTATTTATAAAAATCGAATTTCGGATCATTTTTAACCAAATCATATAACATGGGAAACCTAAGATTAAATATATTTGAAGGTTTCTGGTAAATAAGTCTTACTGATTTCATTATACTGATTTTCAAATCAAACAGTATTTAAAAACACATATAGAGGCTAGTCCCGGACATTTAAACAAAACAAAAAAGCATAAAATAACAAACTGAAACGTTTATTTTTAAACTCAAAATAAGTTTTAGAACTTTTTAAATAATACTAATAAAAAACAGAAATATTTCTTAATCATTTAAGTAATAATTATATCAAAACTTTAGCTTCTATTTTTGGCAATGAAAAAAAATGGCGGGTATCCTCGGACACACTTATTAACCTAAGCGTTTTTAGTCTCACAGATGTCATAATAATAATTATTATATGATGGATTAATGTCATGGCAAGCTTCGTGAGCCCAATCTTTACATCTATGTCTTTGAATCCAATCTTCTAAAATTCTCCACAATAATGCATTCGGTTTCTGGATTACGATCTTAGTGGTGGACATGACTTTGGGCATTTAGTTTTGTTTTTAGGTTTTTTTTACGTTTTGAATGGCATAAAACTATTTGCTGTTTGTTAGATTTTAAACTTTAAGAAGTGTCCGAGAACACCGGCGTTGCATCCGGGGTTATTCGCACTTCCCCTACCACTAATTATCTGGCAGCTGATGATCTGGAACATTCATTACGATTTGTTTTGAACATTCTTTTTAACATTCCGATCGAGTTAGAAAGATTACAGACACGACATTTTTGTTAAAGAAAAAGTATGATGTACAGGGACAAGCCACTACTAATTTGAGGTGGAGAGCATATATTTTAAATTAAATAAACAAAAAATATGATTGGAAATTGCAGTCCGTCATTGTGACGACGTCACAATAAATAATTGCTCGTTTTATGAATAAATCATAATTTAGGTTAATGATTTGATCATAAAACAAGATGCGTTTTCTATTATATTATAATTAATATATAAATACAAATACTGTAATTATATTTTTTTAAAATTTGGAAAATATATAAGCTTACAAAAATGCGAACTACGATTATAATAAACGTCAATCTTTTTGATTGACATTTATTACAGTGGTAGGATTCCATCATAAAGCTGTGACTTTCTCGCAGCTTTTCTATTATTGTAATTGTTATTCATTTGATATGATCAAGAGGTCGAATAATTACTAATATGCGATCCATTATTCGCACTTTTTATCATATCAAAAGAATGTAATTTTCTTTTGTACAAAAAATAATGATATAGTACCAACGGGACGAACATTATTTATTATCAACTGTCAATAGCAAGGCCGTTCTACCAGCTCTTATCTTATGAAAAGAGTTCCCATGGATGCTATGCATAAATTATGAAGTATCATTTTTTTTGTATTTATAATATTAAAATAAGTTTTCAAGCTAAAACATTTCATTCTGTAACGTCAAGATCTGCAGCAATTTTATTAAATTACGAAGAGACTAAAACATATTCAGGGTAAGGATTTTTGATAATTTACAAATAAGATAATTTTATAAATTTCGCTTTTAAGTACATTTACATGCAAGAACAATATTTATTCTTTCGAAAAACACTTTCGTAATTAAAATAAATTTGCTTGCAACAGTTAATAATAGTTTCACTAGTAAACACTGATTATTGTCTTATTCAAATGACGAATGTACTGTTCTTTTCGATGAGTCACAGATAAATGATTATAAATAAAGCATAGTTAAATAAGCCATATTTTGTTATAAATTGTTAAAGCTGATCATCGCTAATGAATGATAAGTTTAAAAAGTATGCCTTATCTTCGACAAATTATTGTTTATATTATGGAAAATTCAAATTTTATTTATGAAAATGATTATGTAGGCCTAAATTATTTTCTATACGAATTTTATGAATTGCAAAAGCCCGAAAACGTTGTATTTTCGAAAACATTGTAAACTCTATGTAAATAAAAAAATAATAATTAGTTTCTGATATACATTTGTACTACCAGTGGCTATGTAGAAGATATCTTAAGAGGAATAACATTAAAGCCGTATAGTTTTAATTGAAATAACTTTAAAACTGTGAAAGCATTTTCCCAATACTATCAATAAAACAAACAATTTCAATCTCAATAATAAGGTAAATAATAAAAATAAAAATGGATTTGTATATTTTTATAATTTTATTCCTTAAAATGCTAAGTATTGGTACTTTAACTTTCTGACTTTTTACTAGTCAATTTGAGTTTTTATTTGACATTTCTAAGCATTTTCTGGGTTATTTATGAATAATAGTTTAATATTATTTTTGATTCCAATTTGAATAATCAATTCTTAGAAACTATCGAGTAACTAATATTCAATATAATAAACATAATGTATTTTTCTCCAATAAGAGAATAATGGACGTTATTGTAGAGAATAAGAGAGCAACTTATATTTCCAGAATATTTAAATTTAAAATGCTTTAAAACTATTATTTTATATATTAAAAAATGCTTCATGTCAGCAAATAAAGTTAGTAATAATAAAAGTCTATATAATCAATAACTAATCTCAGTGAAGAGCATGATTTGTTTAATTATGGTTTAAAAATAACTTGTAACTCATTAATGAAAGTTAAATATGAAAAGTTTTTAAACAACGTAATATTTAAAAGGTTTTCTTTCTACCTATATTATTTTACTAGAGGTGAAAGGTGAAGTTCCCTTAGTAAAATACTCGCTTCTCGCTTCGCCTACTTGTTCCCGTTATAGAATATTCATAAGAAAAATTGACAATTCAACTCCTCGACGGGCTAACATACTCTTCGCTCCACTCACTCGTTCTAAATTTCGTGAAAAATTCATTAATCTCGATGCCTCTGTTTCTGTTTTCTTTTTTTTGTGACAACAAGTGTCGTGGCGATTTTAATCTAAGAAATTTATGTAGAGAGAGTAGATATTTAAAATTTGAAAAAAAATTATTGAAAAGAACAATTATACCGTACAATATGTCTAACCAAGTTAAAACTTGAGCAAATATTCTAATAATACAAATAGTTTTATCATTCTGATCACTCTTTTGGTTAGGCCTATATACGCGACTTCAACAGTTCGCATTTATAGTGTAATATATTTTATGAGAAAAACCTTTACAAAAATTTACATAAAACTAAACAATTTTTAAGTTATAATCTTATTTAATTCGTCTACGGTTTATTATTTTGAAAATCGAATTTCGTTAATTTTTAACAAATTTTCTACGATTTTAAAAATACGTAAAAACTTAACAAATTCGATTTAAAAATTTCTGAACCGTACGTTAATAGAAAAATTAAATAGTATTGTAAAGCAAAAATACATTTATATTTATCTTCTTTCGTTTTCGGGGGAAACAGAAATTATTTTCTTTTTTTTTTCATGAAAACAAAAGCATTAAAGAAGTTACAAACAACCTTAAAGCAAATTTTTATAACATTAAAATTTTATCTAACTGTGATCTGAAGAGATTAATACTAAATATATAATTTAAACAATTGATTTTTATGATAAATTATAAAATATTTGTTTCTGTTTTCAATCGTAATATACAATATACAACGAAAGTTGATTGAACACTGTTACTTTATTTCTAGAAATCGCAGCTGTGTACATTTATTATTAACATGAAGTTTATAATTATTTTAATACTTTTGGTAATAAAAATCAAATTTTCTTCAGGTAAGTTTAACATACTCTATGTAGACAATACTTTTAAATTATAAAAATAAACTTTTTAACTAGAGGGTTTTAAAAGTTTTCGTCTATTTATGATTTAATTATGTGTAATAATCTATTACTAGAACACAATTCGTAAGTTAAATATTTTAAATAATTTAGCAATGACATATGTGGAAATTAATTATTTTTGCATTTTTAGAAGCCGATTGTAGTGAAGCTATTGAAGCAATCATTGAGGAAATGAAGGAACAGAAAATAATTACCGATAAAATAGAGTTTGAAGGAGTCGATTTGCATCCTATTAAAATAACGAAAATATTTGTACTTGATCTAACTTCATTAGTAAGTGACGGAAGTTGCGAATTTGAATTCGACAAAAGTGACGAATTTATAGATATAAATGCAAAATTTAAAGCAACAAATCTCACTATTTTGGCAGATTTTTCAATCAGTATTCTCTTCCAAAGAATTTTAGGAGATGCAAAATTAACCGTTGATCAAATCAATGCAGAAGCTACATTAAAAGTTTCTTTCCCCGTAGAAAGTGTAGAAGTAAACAAATTCGAGATCACTAACTTTGTAGGAACAAAAGTTAAGGAACTAAACGGATTTTCTTTGTCAATTTTGGATCCGTCTCTTTTAAAAACATTGGGGAATGTTGCAGTCACAATATTGAAGAAGGATATCGAACAAAGATTCCTCGATTTGTTAACTAACAATGCGGAAAAATTAACTGAGATTATTAGAGATAATATATAAACTCAATCATGGTGATATTGGAATTTTTTATCGACTTGCTGGCAAATCAGATTTTTTCATTACATTAGATGTAGTTTATATAACAATGTAAACATATATTAGTTATAGCATCTAATATTATTTTCATTATTCTACTTAGCAAACTATTAATATAATCGAAACTGTATTAAAAATAATTAGCCCATTTCTTTATACGAATTAATAAAAAAATGTTATTATTCCACTTATAATTTACATAATATTTAAATTTGATATATCTTTTATAAGAATGGATAAGAGTTTTAGTTATTGAAACAACGTTTTTTCCTTTATTTGAAATTATTATTATCGTTTTTTTCCTCTCTTTCATGGGCACGAAGATGGCCTTTTTTCTCCTATCCGTCATGGGTTAATAATTGAAATTTTCGTAAATTTACATAATTCAATATATATATTTTTCCCCTATAAATAAATTTTTGTAGTCGTGTTTTCTTTGTAAATTTTTTTTATTAAAATAAAGTAATTAAAGCAAATCTAATTTCTTTTATAATTTATTCATACAAGCTATTGCATATAATAAAGTTAAGTTAAAGAATTTACATAGATTATTTTTTAAAAATCAGCAAAAAGTATTGTTTATAAAATAATAATTAGATTATATTTAATTCATAAAAGTTTTATAGAATTTATCGATTTTAAAGATTATTTTAGTCTTTCCTACAATAAAAATAGAATCGATTTTCATTATACTGCATATGCGACGTAGAACATAATGTAAGGTTGCCGATGTGAGAAATCAATTTCAGAACGGACAGAGCGATGAGGGGGGTCGTATGTGGTGCCACTGGCACTAAGACAGACGCGATTTTATTTGCCACGAAACAAGCTTACAAGATTTTGCCATCTTAGAAGTTCAAATTCGTCGTGGCATCTCTCCTTTCAAGATAGCCCCAAATGAAGGGGGGTACCACTCGTTCATTAGTGAGAGTTCCTACGACGTGTCGACGTCCGGGCGATGCGGTCTATTTTCGATCATGGGAAAATGCTAATCCGAGGAAGGGAGACAGAGACAGGCATAAGATACACACAAAAAATGGTCCGACACTTGGAATGTTTGGGAGATGAAGCCAACGTGCCCTTGAAATTCGGAATTTTATAATTTTCTGTTCCTCATTGCTCATTCCGATTGGTCGCTTTACCTCGTTCCTGCATTTTAAGTGATCGCTCATCCGTTGCTAAATGTAATGATATCTCAAGTCAGATGGCTGATAGATCAAAATCGACTTTAATTCGAACCCAACCGGAGCTGGTCGATCTTAGAACTTACATTCTTATATTGTTTATACGTTTGCGTTACGTTTTCCATACAAAAATTTTTCGATTTTTTTTATTCAAAAGTATTTGAACACAAATTTTATTGAGGGGTTCGGGCCTGTTCACAGCATCACAATAGTATAATATATATATATAGAATATATAGTAAATTATAAAATTATTTTAAGATAGCTGTTACAGGCTAATCTATACGAAATTCAAAATTAAGATTCAAAATAAAACCTTCAGACTTTTAATTACTATATTTGATATTATTTTTGAATTGGATTGTGTAAGACCCGAAAGGCCCCTGGGTCTAAATTAATAATTTTATTAATTTTGTTAAATAATGTCACCAAATATTACTTCATTTTTGGTGAGAAAAAATACTGTTTTAACGTGGGAAAAGGCAGTTAACAGATGTTACTTCCTTTCACTGGAGTTAGAACATCCTCTGGCTTTCCCTTATCTGGTTAAAATCCTGCTCAGATGGGAAATGGTTACCCCTCATTCATTCCCCTTTCATCCGTTTTCATGAAAGAGTTACTGGCCGATGATTGGTCGAAATGCAGAAGATATACAGGGAATTTGTCAGAATTCGGGAAGTTCAGCGACAGTTCTGGAAGCGTCCAACTCCATACGTTTTCCTCCGGATGACCAACGTCCTTAGACGAGTCACATACAGAATAATTCCAGAGTTAGCACTTAGAAACCATATTTGGATTTTGTGCACATATTGATCTCCCATACGAAGAAGTAAATGAACTTTATCTCCAAAGTGTCCCTTGCATACAGAGAAGAAGACGAACGACAACTAAAACAGGTCGTATGTTTTATAACGATTTTGTGAGCTCTCTCTCGATCGCGAATAGGGTATAATATAAGCTTAGCTATCTCTCGATTTGTATATTATTCGTAGTAGTTCTATCTCTCGTTCATTAAGATTTTTGTATGAGTTTATTTTCTTGTTTTATTAAATTTATTATTTCGTTTTTAATTAAAATGCCTCCTAATTTTGTGACCGAATCAGATCGCCTACGCGCGTTTGTCCTCGGATCGATAAATTGACAAACTGGTGTCAAGGAATCCTGACGTAGATCTAAACTACACAGCCTAGATCATCCTTAAACATAAAAGCCCTCCTAAATAAATAAAAGTTGAGAGCCGATCTCGCGATCGCGCGCCGTAAGTGGCGTAAACTTTGATATACGTCCTGGCTGATCTCACAATTGCCAATTTTCAAAGTAACAAATTCTGAGCACAGTATGAGAAAACACCAAATTACAAAAGTGATGAGCAAGCAAACTTGGGTACGTGTTTTTCTTTCCTTGATGATGATGAAGTCGCCCATGTCAGATAACGTTAAGGCAACAGTCTGTCGCTTTGAAAACCCTGAATCGAATCCATGAAAACAATTTCAGGAATTTTTTACGGGTAGTCCAGTTCGGATATGTCGGACTCACCACCCTGAAATTTCCATTATTGTAGGGCCCTGAACTAATCCATATATGATTAAAACACACCCTCTTATTATCCACAGGGCGAATAAGACAAAATGAAAAAAAATCAAAATAATATTGAAGATAAAAACAATAAAATTAAAAATAATTATTTGTAATAATAGAATTAGGGATACGAACTTCTTATGAGAAAGGAATAAACTGAAAATAAACACATTTCCATTTATTTTTTTCAAAACATTTCCGAACAATTAAAAAAAAAACCTAAATTCAATAGGATTAGGGAAATTCCAAACAGTTCAAACTCATTTAAATTCTTTTGTATTGAATATGTTGCAGAAAACAACTTTATTAGAACATTATACAACTTACCTGATAATTCTTCTGTCACCTCTTATTATAACCAGACCAATATCGACAAATTAAAAGTTTTATATAAGAAAAACAAGTTATTTTAGACAGCTTTAAACTAATAAAGATTGGCAAGAAAGAATCTTATATAAGTGACGAGTTAAATATAAACTCAAGGCACTCTAACTGCAACTATCGATGGAAAAATAATTTTATTCTACCAAAAGTTAAGCACTGTTTTGGCCGAGACGCATCGATCTATCAATTTATATATAACTGGAATGCTTTAAAAGAAGAATATGAGGATCAGACAACTTATGGACAGTTTAAACAAATTGTTAAAAAATTGAACTCTGTCTAGTTTCGTGTATTTTTTTATCTTTGCCGTTTTTTTCGTTTTGTTGATTGTTTATTTTTTGTATATGCATTTTTTTACACTTGCGAAAGGCCAATGGCCATGGTGTCGTTTAGTTAAATAAATAAATAATATAATTAGTAATAATACATGTAATTAATCATTAAATAAAATACTGATTATGTAGTTTATAAAAATAAAACATATGCATGTCATCCCTATATGATTACATAAAATATTAATTTTATTGATAATTATGTATAACATTCAATAAAATTGCTAAATATCGTATTTAATTTTAAATTCTGGCTGAAATTTAATAAACGTTTAATTTACAATCTTTTATAGTAACTTATAATATATTCAATTAAATGAGCACCTGTCAAGTTTCCAGATCTTATGTATATAACATGAAAAAGTATTGTAACGGTGTCAAATTTAAACTTTAGGCTTTTTTGCAAATTCTGACGTTTTGAAATCTTTAAACCGAAAAATGTGAAAAATGGGGAAATACCTCAGGATGAAGGAAAGCTTAAGAAACGAAATTTAAAATGGTAACTTTATATATAAGTGGCATTGAGTACTATTAAATTTTTGCGCTTAAAGGTCGAGGGGGTCATGTGTCATGTGTTGAGTGTGGTCAGACATAATGAAAATTTCTCTTTTTTCGTATTTATAGTTTTCAGAAAACTTATCTCTACCCGCAGGTGAAGTCTGTTACTTTTTATAATAATTAATAATATAAAAGTTATTTTTTAATAACATCTGATAACATATAATAGCACTTCATACAATTTTTTAACTTTGTGTTAGTATCAGTGTTTTTTTTTTCTTCCGGGCAGTTCATTGTTGATTTTTACATATGCAAAGGTAACTTGTAAAATCAAAATTAACTTTCACAATGTTACAGACGTTGGTAAATGTGTTAATACTAACTCTAAGTAACTGCGAACACAACGATAAAATTGGAAGAAGCACAAATAAAACATCTAGTGGAGTTAAACAATATCTATAGAGACGACGAAACAAAGACATTTTAATAATGATATATTGTGTGTTATTTTTTTTAGGGTGAACATTTTGTCCTGGCAATTTTACAAATGAATCAGTCTGTTTCAGCTTCTATTTCGGTTTTATTGTAGAAACTCGAAGAGAAAAAGAGATTTAACGTATCTTAAACATTATGAACAATGTTCCATTCCACGAAACTATAACCAAACATAAGCAACATTTATGTACTGTATTTAAATTCAGTCTAAAAAACACAAGAAGGCGACTTAATCTTTTCTGTGCTTATCTTTTAAAACATTTATCATCAATTTTTAATTTCCGGATGTGCAAGTATTTATTTTATTTATTTATTTATTTTGGGTAACGCAACAAAATGCTATGCGTAGACTCGCTCTGTACAACAGCATCGAATTGCGATTGACATATTGCTTTTACTGCAAAAATTACGGCAAAATAAATCGCAGGGATAAATATGAACTGCAGATAAATCTCGAATATACACTATTTATAATAAAGTTTTCGATGGTAACGAGCTACTAACTTATAAGCGCGAGAGCTGACACGTCATTCGCTTGATTTTTTATTGTTACGTTAATAATTAATACGTTAAAATTTTCTAATAATATAATTTCAACAATTGTCATATCGAGTTGTTTGTTGAAAGCGATTGTTGTCGGATGCAAATTTTTTAAAAGCGAATTTTATGCGATAAAATGAGTGTTCGAAGTAAATTAAATTATTTGATTATGTGCATAATTATATCAATTAGCTTACAGCATGTCTATAATGTGAATATAAACAATGCTTTTAATATCACGTTACCAAAAAAGCTTAAAACATGAAAGAAGTTTGATATAACAAATTACAATCAATATCGCTACTGCATTGTCTTTTTCAAAAGAATCTTCAAAAGAAGGAAGTGCTGTTAATAACAGTTAAGATATAATTCAAACCCTTGATTGCC